CATTTCTGAGGCTGTTAATGAGTTCTGACTCCAGTCCTGTCCTCTGGGGTACAGTCTGCAGAGATTCAGGCCAAGAATATCTTGAGCTTCAGGAGGCACAGAATCTTCTCTCTTATTCAGAAATGTGATCTTTGAAGTTCCTTAGTTCTTCTCCTGTGCAAAAGGAGGCTGGAATTAGGTAGCAATGCCATGCACAAATTTTTGGATATGGCCAGCAGAGTTCTGGATGCTTTGGAGAATCACAATTTGAGCACCAAGAAAGGGCTTTCGAGGAGCATCTAATGAAACTCAGTCCTCTTAGCTAGAGATAAAATAAGAGCGCAAATAAATTAGTACAAGTACCTTCAACTTAGTCAGAGGCAGAGCTGGGGCCAGACCTGTGGTCAGGGCTCTGTGTGGCACACACTGCCCACTGAAGACAGCGGGCTGGTGGACTTGGCTCTCACAATTGCACATCGGCATTTCTGAAGGAGCGCGACATTTGTGTTCACCTTCCTGAGTGCAGTCTCAGTATTTGCATTCACAGTGCTTGTTTTCAGAGCACATATTCATCCTTCCACTAAAGCAGCAACAATTGAGGAACAAAGATTATCAAAACGCCACAACACAATGAGAGGAACTGGAGCATTTTCATGTCTGATTACATTATTTCATTTTGGGAACCAACTGCTCTGATCTCCTAGGTATGTTATGCCCAAAGATCAAAAGCTAGGATAGCCACCTCCACACAATTCATATGCATGTATCACAAAGACCAGTTTCTTGGCATTTTGGAGCATGGGATGGGATTGGAGCACTTCTGCATCACTCAAGGATCTAATTAATTAATTAATTTTTGGTCACAGAGCAGCAAACTAGCCAGGGGTCATTTTGTTTAATTCTGCAATTTAGCGGAAGGAAATGTGACTCAGATTAAGTGTTCTAATGATTTCTAGAAAGCAAAAGTAATCAAGGCAATGAAACCATTGATTGCATCTCTGTGGTTGTGTGGTTCATTTTGATTCAATTCTATTCCACCCTACCCTGCTTCATAGTGTACACTGTCAAGTCCTGGTTACTTCTGTTTCTATTTTGTTTTAACCTCATCATCATCACTGATAAAGAATCTACTTGGGATCCTAAGTCCTTCCTGGGTCTTATCTTTCACCATTTCATTGTGAATCCTTTTATAAAAATTTTAAATACTTTTTGTTAAAAAAATCAAATTTAACAATTGATTTATTGAGGCATTGCTCTCAGGCAGATATGGCTTCCAAGAAATAATGTCTTCATTCCCCCGATCTTCAGAAAAACAACAACAACAAAACAAAACAAAAAAAGTAAAGCAAAGCAAAGGAAAACAAAAAAGAAATGTTATCTAATGTGACATTATGTTCCTTATCCAGTCATTTGGACTGAATTTTTCTAGTTAGAAGTATTTGAGTTTATACACACGTTCACACCTGTTATCTCACGATGCCTCAATGTTTCAAAGCTTTCCAGTTGCTTAAAAATTCTAGATATGCCATCCAAAAGAAGGCCTTGCAATTGAGGAAGAGGACTTCAAGGCATGGAAAAGAGGAGTCTGGAGGGGCCCAAGAGGAATCATTCTGGAAAGTTCCCAGAGAGGATGGCAAACAATTTCACATCTCCTGCAGAGAGCGTGGGACCTACAGAGAGGCTGAAGGCTCCTGTGCATCCAGAGAGCCTTGCCTTCCGACAGTCACCTCTCCCGTCCTCCGGGCATGCTTGAACCACTTTGCCCTCCTGCTTGTCTCTTTGGTACTCTTTTCTTCTTTATTTACTTAATGTATTTTTTATTTTGATTGACAGTTTGAAATTGTACATATTTACAGGCTAATGTTTGACATTTCAATACAGTATATGATGTGTAATGATCAGATTAGGGTAGATGGCATAGGTGTCACCTCAGACATTTGTACTTAGAATATTCAGGATCTTCTCTATGTGCTGTTTTGAGATATTAAATTAATTATAATGTTAGAAGTTCTTCCTCCCATCCAGCTGCAGCCATACACCCACTAGCCATGCTCCCTCCTCTCCCTGACCCCCGAGTCTTTACTTTGGTGTCATAAAATAATTTTGCCCTTTCCACAACTATCAAAAAATACAGCTAACAGAGGAGAGCATAATTTCCAGAAGGAGTAGTTCAGATAAAGTGGTTTCACAGAATGTCAGTGCCCTTTATAAGACAAAGAAAATTCTAATTAGATTATTGTATTTAACAAGTTTCTGTTAAAAGGCACATTTAGACTTACGGATTTCAGAACCTGAAATTCTGTAAAACACATTATCTACAACATTACAATATATTCTATAATTTCCATATTGGTGCTATTCTATGATAAGGAAAAATCTCCAAAGAGGAATGTTGTTCCAGCACATTAACAGTAAGCCTGTCTAATTAATACACAGTTATTCAATTAGCCCAAATTTGTCATCAACATTTTGCATATACTCCAGTGAATAATCTGATATAAAAATCTGACACACTTTCTCTGTATTTGCAACACAACATTTCTGGTCAGGAAAATAAACCCATCTGCACAAGGAGGGAATACTTCATTTTAAAGATTCAGGGGTTGCAACTCAAATGCTTTAGACTTTAGCCAGGGCAACTCATTTGCAGCTGAGATTAGCCCTACATCTGGACTATTTTATTTTCACAATTCTTCTCCAATTATAGGTGACTTTGTAATACCAACTAGCTGCTTTAAGAGTCTGGGAGGCAGTCTTATCCTACAGGGTCACAGGCTAAAAGGCTAGGGGTCTCCCTTCCCTCCCCAAGCCTACACTTCGTGAGAGCAGAGCTTCTATCCCAAGGGTAGGCTGAGAATCATGGAGGCCCGGTTGCCCTTGCTCCTTGCTCATGGGGCAGCAGCTCCACACCGGGAGAGACAGGACCAGGGGCTCTTGTCTGGCCAGGTTGTGAAGCAGCAGTGTCACCCCGAGATGGGCCTTCGTGCCCACCCAGTTTCTGAGGGTTTTGTAAAATGCAGTCCCCAAGAGTACGTAAGTCTGACACTATTAGAAGAGTGCAGAAGTTCAAGTCTAAGGGTGATTTCAAAAACAATGGGGCTCTTGGTGGTAAGCAATTAAAAGGAGGCTGGTAGCACCATGAGAGCAAAAGCTAAACCACAAATCAGTTTACCAGGAAGAACAGAGGAAAGAGACAACTACCGTCCTCTTGGTATTAGCACAAACCTCAGACTGGCTTCAAAAACTAACCCTGCATTTCCAGAGCAATAAATACTCTAAAATAACACTGTGATGGACACATTGGTCCAAACCCATAGGATGTAAAAGAGTGAATCCATGAATTAGACTTGGAGTGATTATGATTGTCAGGTGTAGGCTTGTCAGTTGTGATGTGTTAACTCTGGTGGGGAGGTTGATAATTGAGGAAGAGGAATTTGCTAACAGGGAAGGCTCTGCATGGATGTGGGGAGAGGGCCTATGAGAAATCTCTGTATCTTCTCCATTAAAATTGATTAAAAAAGATTTAAAACAACAAAAACAACCAAATCTTTTCAAAGGGTCCTAGATTTAACAGATCAGACTATGGGGCAATTTATATTCCATCATATAAATACAAAATAGGACAGCTGCTTTGTTAAGACTCTGGTAGTTCTGCAAAAGGTGAAACATAGAGATACCAAATGCCCCAGCAATTTCACTCTGAGGCATATACCCAGGAGAAGTGAGGACAAGAAATAGGAATACAGAACGATACATGATATAACATGGATGGAAAGTGAAAGGAGCCAGTTCCAAATGACCATGCATTGTGATTCCCTTTATGACTTATCCTGAATAGGCATATTCACAGATAAAGACTAGTTGTTGCCTAGGGGGCTGGGTGGGGAGGCTGAGGGAAATGGGCAGTTTTGAGGTGGTGAAACAGTCCTAAAATTGATTGCAGCAATGAGGTACTATACTAAAAACCACTGAATTGTTTATTTGAAATGTATGAATTATATGGTTTGTGAGCTGTTACATTAAAAAAAAAACAAACACAGACCTTACTCATCAATACAAACACACTCAGTCCATATGGGCTGCTTTTAACAAAACACCATATGCTGGGTGGTTTAGAAACAGGAATCTGTCTCGAAGTTCTGAATGCTGGAAGGCCAACAGGAAGGCATGAGATTTGTCTTCCAGTGAGAGCTGCCTTCCTGGTTCAGAGAGATGTTTCTGCTGTGTCCCCACACGATGAGAGGTGGAGGAGCTCTGCATTTGCATACATAAGGGCTTGGACCCTGTTCATGGAGGTTCCATTGTCACAAGTAATCCGCAGCCAAAGGCCCTACTTCCAAACCCCAATGGAGAGGAGACTGGGTTTTAACAGGATGGGGGGGGGGCGGTCCATGTAGTCTTTAGCATACACTACTGAAAAGCCACTTGCAGCTATCTTGTGAATACCCATTGAGGTGTACTCTTGGGACTTGTGCACTTCACTGTTTTTATGTTAATATTTTCATATGCAAAATTTTTATCAGGGAACTGGAAAATGCAAAATGCTAAGTAGTTCAGATGTAGCAAATTTACCACTATAATATAAAAAAGGGCACTTGGATTGTTTTCCACTTAGCAATGGGAATCATGGGCCAGACGATTTGAATTTGCAATTGTGAGATTTTTAAGCAGCCCATAATAGCTTTAGTATGGTCAGTGGAACACAACAGAATTAAATTACCTCCGAATTTCTCTGGGATAATTATATTAACAGGAATGAATCAGCCTGGAAGCCCCTCCCACGAGCTCAGGTCATCTCCAGCTACCAGATGCCTTTCGGTTACAAAGTTAACATCAGCTAAGCTTTTGAGTTTCACAATTTTCACATTTCCGACCTGCGGATAAGGGGACATATGCTGCGTGAGCTCCAGTCTTGGTTCTGCTGCATCACTGACTTTATGAGGCTGATGTGATTTAAAGTAACAAATGGACAGGACAACTGAACCACGCAGCAACCACTTAGCACCATGCACACACAGCAGTGTATTACTAGTTTTTTGGTCAACATTTAATATTTTAAGAACAGAAATAACATTAAAAAAATATTTTTTGGGTATCAACAAGCAAAAACACAAAGTGCAAGTCTCCCCAGGCCACCCGGTCTCCAAGGCCTAAAGTGCAGCAATCCAGCTGTAGTCTACTTTCCTGAATTTCCTCAGTTCTTTTTCTTCAGATTTTGACAACTGATATACAATGTCTTCTTCCAAATCTGCGTTATTTGTAGTCTGGACGTGTTCCGTAAAATTGTTTTCTTCATCTGAATCATCACTTTCTTTTTCTTCTTCCATATTGACATCATTGGGAATTTCCTCAGCACTTTAACAGTAACAGAATAAAACAAACACTGTTAAAATATTTCTAGAGAATGACGTTCTAATTTAAGAATATGTAGAAATATAATCATACAGAAAAAGTAAACAAAAAATTCTGTTTTGAATGCACTTTAAAAATTGTAGATTATAAAAGAGGTGAATTTATAAAAACTCTAATATCAACTTATGTACCACATCTGTAAGCACCCACACAAAGCACAGTTTTTCTGGGTTATCTTCCATGTGTTTCACTGACTGATCCTATGTCCTTTACTACACTTTAAAACTGAAATGCAGGGAAGACAGTGGAAGAGTATCTTAATAAAGGATAACATAAGCCACCCTATTTCCCAGTACAGGCTACAGAATAAAATAAACATGTTTGAAGAACTGCTTTACCTTTTGGTCTCTGCAGACAGCAACAAGGAATTTATGAACATGGAACAGAGGAAAGAAGCAGAAGGCAGCACGTGGGCTGGCGTGTGAAGAAGCTGCAGTGAAAGAGAATTCAGTACAATTTAGAAAGATTATTCTTTGGCACAACATGTTTCATCCATGTCGTAAGTACTTTTATTGCAAGTGCTAAGAATCTAACACAAAAGGCTTTCCCTGTAGCAAAACCAAACTGAAGAAAAAATGTTCTATTTTCCTACATTTATGCAAACTCTCTCTTCCATCACCCCGGGTCCAGGCCAAAAAAACCCCAAGTCACAAGGTTAAATTACTTAGTTTGGGTATTAATGCTACATAGCACCCCAATAATTATTCAAAAATTAATGCATTTCATCTGCTTCACATAGTTTGCTCTATTCACTCACCTCATTAATCGCAGGTATGTTCTCTGTTAAAGGTAGCTGTACCAGTTCATTCTCTAAAGTTTCATTTAGTTTTTTATCCTGTTGTTGCCTGTGCTTTCCCAGTATGAAATAAAATGGGGTTGTTGGAAGACTTTCTTCTGCTAGCAGCTGTAGGATTTAAGACAAAAGGAAATCACCTCAATAAAAAGGGTGAGCTCTTCTGACTCAGTAAGTACTAGAAAATCATAAAACATGTGGGATGGAAGGAACTTGAGAAATTAGTTAATGATTCATTTTGTAGGTGAAGCAACTGAGACCCAGTCTCCCACTTATTGTGGGGAAAGCTAACAATGGATATTTAGATGACAGAACCCAATCTGCCACACTTCTTTGCCTATTCTACAAAAAATGACAGCAGAAGGCTTTCAAAGGGCATAAACTCGCCACGTCAGGGGAACATGTTGGAAGGATGGAGCAGGTTGAAGGATGATTAATAAAGAGCGGAGAAGGCCAAGAAGTAGCCCAATTGATAGCACAGAACGCTACAAATGCTCAGTAACTGGCACCTCAGGGTGAAGGGTGGGGTAAAAACCCACATGGGCTGGTGGAAACCTATGTGGGAAGCCCAAGTTCTTCCTCGGGCCCAGCACAGGGCTCCAAGTACGTCCTCTGGTGAACAAACAGAAGCGTTTTAGATCAGACGCAGGTGGGAGTATGGTTTTCACACCTGAAGGTGGCTGTCCTTCAGGCAGGAGACATCTCAGAACACTGGCAGCCAGGTTTAAGTCCTTCTGGCAAAAGTTTAGACGGCTATGCTCAATCTGACCAGCCTAAGAGACCAAGATCTAAAACTAATGACACCGGAGAGTGTCTTGGTAAAACACTTCAGCACGCAGGGAGAGGTTCCACACAGGCAATCTTCCAAACAGTTTCTGTGTCCACTTTTAAGTAAGAGCAGACAGCTAAGACCCACTGGACTCTGATCAAAACCTATACAAAGAAAGCTAGTTACCAAACTAGACTGAAAACAAAAATCTGATGGAAACAAACTAGGCAAGAGGGGGGAAAAACATCTGATAAAAGGTGAGGAAGCCACCCAGAAAACAGGAGAAAAAAATATGATAGCATGATAGCACCATTCTAAAAGGCCCAGCACTGAAAAATAGAAGTTCCATAAAAAGAACAGAGAAATGATGGGGGGAGAGCAATTCATGCCTTCCTAGATCTTTTCTGAAAACCGTCCAAGGCTCCCCACTTCACTTAGAGGCAAGTCCGTCCTTCTAGTAAGGTCCACTTAGACTTCTCCATGAAAAATCCCAAACGAAACCTCACTTACCTTTTACTCCGTCCCTTACCCCACCCTAATTCGTATCCTCTCCTGAAAGACTACATATTTTACTTATTCAATGCTTGCTATTTAGGGCTTGTATCTTTTTTTTTTTGGTATCAGGGATCGAACTCAGGACCTTAGGCTTGAGAGGCAGGCGGCAGAACCAATGAGCTAAATCCCCAGCCCATTAAGGCCTGTATCTTCCTGTAGACTCTAACACCTCCAGTTTAGAGATTTGACTGTTTTGCTCATTAAGGTATCCCATGGGTCTAGAAATAGTTCCTGCCCTGCAGTAGGCGATCAACAAAAATTCTTGAATAAATTCAGTGAGTTTTAAGAGGAAAATAAGTCAAGGATAAAAGATCAAAGCACAAAAATGGTATAGGACTTTTAGTAACCCAAGAGGCTGTAAAATAACAGAACAATACCTTTAAAGTACTGAGAGAAAACGCCTTTTAACTTACAACTCCGTATCTGACCAATCAATCCAGGAGAGAACAAAAACATTTCCAAACATGTGATGTCTTGCGTCTACCTCCCAGGCACCAGCGGAATGTGCTTCACTAAAAAGCAAGGAAGTGGCCCAAGAAAAAGCAATGCTCTGTGCCCTTGTAGAGGTGAAACGACCCCAGCAGGACAGTGACTGGGCCCTTGGAAGACTACCGTGAAGGAGACTTACAGAGCAACCAGTCCTGACGGAAGCAAGTCAGAGGCCTTTGAAATACTTCTTCATGACTTGAAGGGACACCTAAGGGTCTGAAAGATTTACAGAACCTATCTAACTTGAAGAGTCAGTCTGGGGCTCAATTAGGTGACGAGTAAGTGAAAAAAGGCATGTTATCTCCAGAGAAAACGAAGTTGGTCACAAGAGGAAAAGCAATTTGTGTGACTACACAGCTTGGGTGTGCATTTATTTGGTTATGACAGTGAACACTGACATGACCAACTTAAGACTAATCTCTCTTGGGAAAATGAGGGGACTGGAGGGGAAGTGCAGTCCACGCATGTGTGAGGAGTGGTGCTATGTGGATGCCAAGGCATACGCTTTGACAGCTTCAGTCAATCAGTGTTAACAGATGAAACCTAAATCTGAATTTCTCAATTAGCAATATGAATTTGTTTTTTAGAGATACAATGTTGAATTAAAAACCCCAACTAAGAGGTGGGAGAAAGTCACTGTGGGCCATGGCAGTGGGTGCAGAAATTTTTTCTAAGAAGCCTGCAATACTGCAGCTGCCCCTCAGTGTCGATGGGATACGGTTCCAGAGCCCTCTGTGATACCAAAATTTGAGGGTGCTTGGGCCTTTTCTATCAAATAGCATAGCACTTCAATATCACCCTTGCCTATTTTCTTATACTTTGGCATGTTTTTTTTCCGGGTATTTTCAATCCACGATGGGTTGACTATTTCAATCCATGGATATAAAAGGCCAGTTGTGACTTTAAATCACGATCACACATTACTGACAATGTAAATTAAACCAGCTTAAAAAGAGCACTATGGCTTCAAAAGAGGCTCATCAGTTTCTACGTGCAGGTCTGGAAACTCCATCTCAGGGCTGGAGGCGGCATGTTCTTCCCAGCCGCGTCCCCGTGCGGGAGGCGATTTGGCCCGGCGCTGTGGGTGGTGGGAACGCACCTGTTTGCTAGTTGGTGTGAGCTTCTCTTCAGGAGACTTTGTACTGAAAGTCAGTAAGCTCTGAAAAGAGATCAATTGGTGAGGTGAAAGATAAATTCTGCAGTGCAAATCTAAATAAGGTCTTGAAAAATAAGGTCCATTTTTCATTTTGATACACATCTGCCTAAAGAAAAGATTTACAATTTTTTTTTTGGTACTGGGAATCGAACTCAGGACCTTGTGCTTGCAAGGCAGGCGGTGGCACCACTGAGCTAAATCCCTGGCCCTATTTACAATGTTTTTGATAACCTTTGTGACAGTGATAAAATTCAACTGATAGCCCAAACTCAAGCCACCATTTTTTATAATGGCAAATTCAGTAATAAAACGACAACAAAAGGAACCATGCTAAAATACAATTTAAAGTACTTCTGTTGCCTCTGCTTTCTTGTGCTAAATGGACTCAATGTTCTTTAACTGAACTACTTCACCCAGAAATAAATTCATAGCACTAGTCATGGGCTATGTTACTCTTTCAAGTACATGTACCAAGTGGTCTCCTCTTGAGGGTGGCAGTTACCTGTGATTTTGTTAGGAAGTAAAACTGGGATCTGTTTAGCCACTGGTAAGCTTCTGAGGTGAATGAGTCAGGGACATCTCGGGGAACAAACACTCCCCACTGGACTTCTTCTCTGGAAATATTCTTCTGAATATACAAAGGTCTTGGCTCACTAGGTTTAAATACAAACACTGGAAGGAAAAACAGATAGATAGTGACATTTTGCCTGTTCTAGCCCCACAATGACAGACCACACAAATCCTGGGTCTCACTCCCCAGGGTAAATGGTTCAGCCCACGATACCATCTAGTGAGCCAAGCAGGCTGGCAATGAAGACTGAGCTCAAAAAAGGAAAGGGCCCTGTTCCAGACACCAGGAGCTACTGCAGAAGACAGTCAGCAAAACATTACTGATTTTAAGCACCAGAAAGAAATATGTGGAAATTGTTCCAAAAGTACAGAGGAGGACCAATTAAAGCTTCTCACAGCATTTGGGAATGCATCCAAGGGGTGAGATATCTACTGTAATTTTCACACCAAGTAGGGATTGGCCTGTGGAAAAATAAGGGATGCACTGGAGCTCACCTGGAACTGGGTGTGGGTGTGCACATTACAAGACATGGGGACAGAAAGGAAGGGGACGGCCTCAGGGCAATGGCTTCAAATGGATGGCAGAGTTGAAAGCAAGTTTGATCCAATTATGTTAAAAAGAACACAGGCTATCAGATTTCCTTTAACTTTCAAACTATGGTTCCTACTTACAGTCTGAACCCCCTGAAGACCGAGAGACTGCAACAACATTCTCTGAATGTGGATCAGGTTCCATCACTCTAACATTTAACTTCGCACTCCATTCCACTGCGGGGGAGAAAAGATGATTCACTTCAAAGAGGCTTGCCAGAAGCTCTTACAGCCTTGTTATTTAGGATGAGAATCCTTCATCCTTTTTGGGACAACCAATTCTATTATTCTTAGGGAGGATTTTATGTTCCCAACTAACAATGGAGTCACACTGAAATAATCTGGGGAAGAAGCACTGACGTGAAGAACAGGAAACAAAAACAAAATAGACCTTCAGCACTTGTACAAAGGGTGAAAATGTTACTATTCATGGAAGCTCAGGTCAAGTGCTTTACTGCTGTGGCTAAATGTGGGTGATATTTCAACCACAGTCACCATACAGAATACAACACACATCTGTTACTAAGCAACCACCACAACTTTCATCCCTCCAATGAGTAAAATGTCACTGAATCCACGTGTTAGGAGGGACTGTGGCTAACTTCAGTCAAGTTTATACTGCAGGGTTAATATGCTTACAAATCAGAGGAAAAATATGGAAGGCAACAGAAAATCACACTGTGAAGAAGTGGGAAAAAGCAAAGATAGTATAATGGAAGCTGATTTACTAATAACTAGGTGGTTTATAAGTGCTCTATCACAGGCTACCACTTTAAATTTCAGTGGTCTGTATCAGGTGAAGAATCATATATTGTCTAAGTAGATTCATGAAATTATGAAAGACCTCTAGTTTTTAAAATGTCAACATTTCATGACAACTTCCTCTATGTGTTTTGCTAAATCAGTGGAGCATAACAAAGTATCTTACATGCACAACTGAGCAGATTCCAACAGCAGAGAATGCCATTTTCAGTAGCACCCAGAAGATACTTCGAGCACGTTAATCTCCCGAAGCAAAGGTGCCTAAGTTAAAACCAGAAGAAGTCAGCAACAATCAGTCCTCGCACATTTAGTTACAAGAAGGCACTCTGGCTTCCACACACTATTTTAGCCTTGGGCAATGCAGATTTTTAAAGACATTTGTCATTTTGTTTATACCTGCACCAAGGAAACAGGGACTAAGGAATATAAAAGGAAAGGTTTATGTAAGCATTTTTTTCTTCAGGAAAACAGATTAGATGATCAGTTCTCTAATATGCCATGCAGGATAACAATCAACACATAACAGAAAATGTACATAAAATGACAAAGTCACTTAACAAAAACCGTATTTTATATTCTACCTAGAAGACAAAAGCTTGCAATCTGAATTTTGAAGAAAGTTTTATAAAGTAAATTTAGAATCAGACATGCTGGGAATTAGTGACAATTTTCTTTCTTTCTTTTGCTTTTTGCTGTGCTGCAGAGTGAACCCAGGGCCTCGTGCCTGCCAGGCAAGTGCTCTACCACTGAGCTACAGCCCCAGCCCTAGTGACAATTTTATTAACCACCTGCCATTCTGTCCCTATGCCCAGTTACCTGAAGTATATTGGAAGATATTGTTATCTTCCCCTCCCCAGAAAATAATGATGTTTGGGAATAACATTTTTACACAGAGAATAGCATAGTTTGGATCTACTAGGGCTTCTGCCCAGCATCTATTATTACACAGCACATGTTTGAAAGTGTTTAATGCACAGAAAAATCTGCATACGAAGAAGTACATGTTAATCCCGATTCTGGAATGTTGGCACAGTTTACATACTCAGAATTTCTTATCTCTCTGACATTTGGCTAGCACTTCACTTCCCTTACCTATAAGGCTACCTTTGGGGAAAGCATGAATTATTACTGAAGTTTAACATCTTATTTAATAAATTAAAAACACTACATAATAACTAAGTAATTTACCTACCTTATTTTCCCAGCTCTTTGGCAAAATGTACACTTAAGTTCCCAGGTTTCTGAATCCCATATGGTAACTATTTCTTCAAAACTAACTGCTAGTAAAGAGCCATCTTCAGAGAAACAACAGTCAGTCGCCTGATACTTGTGATAGCTGCCGACAAAGTCACAGGTCCAGCCAACAGCTTTTTCTGTGGAGATAGATATAAGGCATATGTTAAAAGGTGGCATAAATATTAAACAATATTAGAGGGATATGACAAGCTCTAAGGGTTAAGAAACAAAAACAACCTGCCCAGCAAAACTTCTCTAAGTTAGAAACGCTGCAAGGTATCCACAGACTGGAAATGGAGGTCCTTCCAGGAGGCCTTGATTGCCCCCTGGTGGAGCTGATCAAGGACTAAAGGCAGAAGCCCTTTCCCTGTACCTTCCTCCAATTAGTCAGCATATTGTTAATCTAGAATACCAATTAAAAAGTACAGATTTTGTAAAAAAAAAAAAGGCATGTAAAAATGTAATCTTTTAAATCTATTAAAATTAGGCAATATCTCATAGAATTTAACAAGGTAGAAAATGACCTTTCCAAATGGCAACATGTCATGAGCTAAATATAATCAATTCTTAAAACAATGGACTATTTCAACACAATCTATTTAAAACACCTACTGTATATATCAGAATCATCTGTTAATATCCACACTTTGAAATGACCATCTTTGCCAGCTGTAACCAAAGTGGGGGTTTCAGACCTTTCTGCATTACAGAAACAGAGAGCTGTGATGTGGTCGTCATGTGGCATGCTAATCTTTGTGTTAAGGACAAACCTAGGAGAAAGGAATCCACACATTATTCTTACATCAGAATAATATGATATGCCGTCATATTGGTCTAAGACTTTACTGCATATTGTACATTTGACAAGAGCATCTTTAAGAACGAGCAACTGATAGATCCTAGAATTACAAATGATTGAGTGCTCTCCCTTTAACGATGGGAAGATTTCTAACACATCACTGGTAATTTGAGATATTAATAAGAGATATTGATCTCTTATTCAGAGATCATTATGTATAGCAGCAATCTTGCTGGTACAAAATAAATGTAAAATAGGGCCCATCAAACATTTTTGAAAGTACCAAGCTCTGCAGAGAAATTACATAGAACCCAGATGTCTGTCTACTTTTGACAAAAAATGGAATGCCTGTGAAAGGTCCTACTCTTAGCAAGAAAATATGGAATGAAAACAACCATTCCAATTGCCCTGATTACTATTTACTATTTCTAGTCACCTCAACCTCCTCCTAGAGTTTTTCCCAGATTAGGAGGGCAATGCTATAAATGAAATATGTGCTGCCACTGAGCTCTTAGGACTATCAGGATTGCTCAGCGTCATAATTTAACATGTGGACAACAGGCTTATTTTACAATGTTCTTCTGAAAAGTAAGATAATGGGCATGAAAGCACTAGGCCTAGTTTTTGGCATTCAGCAAGGAGCTGAGAAGTAGTTATTAAAGCCATGAGAAACCAGTGGGTTCTAAGTACACTACACCTATATTCCCACTTTCCCAAGGAAGGCAGCATGTTAATGGAAGAGCCAGGGAACATTTGGGTTCTAATTCTGGATTTGCCTAGAGTTGGGGATTGTGTCCTCGGCAGTGTTTTCATGTTTATCTATGCAATGAGATAACATTATGACTTGGAAGACCTCAATGGTTTCTCAATACGGAAAGCCTAATGAAGGCCTTTGTTAGAAGAATAACATCTTCCCCATATCTTCAAGTCTAAAACTTATCAATCTGAAAAATCTTGAAGACTGACAACTACAGTCATAAAACAAGAACTCAAACATTTTATCATCTGAAATTCAAAGTGGCCATCCAGGTAACATTACCCTTGTATTTTCTTATTGTATTTCCACAGTTTCATTTGCAATTCAAGCTCAGATTCCTTTTCTTCCCGTTGCTCCACTGTTGCCAGCCAGTTTCCAAAAGAGCCAAATGCAGCCTTTGTTAGCTCAATTTGGATCAAACCGGAATCGTTGATATATTCTTGCTGCACAATATCTAACTGATGTGTCAAAAAGAATTCAAAATGCTTATTAATGAAAGCACAATGTTAAAGCATTCAAGGATAACTGAATACGTTCAAGATAACTTTTAGAATCTAAAAGTAGTAGATTTTTAGGTAACAGGAAAAATGAATCAATTATTACTATAGATATCAAATTTGCCATTAAAAAGGGGGAATACATTGTATAGTATCAGTTTGGTAGTGATTATTCTACAATGGCCTTGATATATTAGTGATGACCAAGACCTACTGTATGAGTCAATAGAACCTTTCACCTATAATAGTGCTTTCTCTAAAGAAAGAGTAACTATGTAAAGTCCCAAGGCTAAATTCTCTTGTCACTAGAAATAAGAGAGTAGAAATATTTACAACCTTTAAGGGGGGAAACAGGCAACGGCCTATGTAGGCCAGTGTTTTTTTTATGATTGTTTTTAAAATCTTGTGTATTTACTATGTACATAAAGTGGCTACTTAATGCTTGGGAACGGGCGTGCTTCAGGATTTCAGGTTTTACTGCAGTTTGGAATCTGCTTATATGTTGTATTCCGGGGGATCAAACCCAAGTTTAAACAAGAAATCCACTTGTTTCACATGCACCTTATACATACACACAGCTGAGGGTAATTTTACACAATACTTGTAGCACACCTGCACTGTGACACAACCCATCACAGGAAGTGAAGTATGAAATTCCCTTCTGTGTACATCAATGCTCACAAAGTTTCAGATTATGGAGCATTCTGGATTTCAGATTTTCAGATGAGGGATGCTCGACTTGTATTATGTGCACCAAGAAATATGCCAGGCATTGTACTAGATGTGGAGTGTTAGCAGGCTTCCTTCTTGAGGGGTTTAAAGGACAGAAAGAGATAAAGTGTCATAGTTAGTATGACACAAGTCTGTCAAGAGCACTGTGAGGCACAAGGAAAAGGCAGGGCATTTATCAGGATTGTAAGAAGTGTTCCTCTTCAACCTACACTGCAGTTTGTCTTTGGTATGTGAACACAGCTGTCTCATTGCATGGCAGACACAGGTTTGTATGGTCAACCCACACATTCTTAACTCCTTATCCTCAACATTCAAATGCGTAAATGTGGGAGACAGCTAGTGGGCTGCAACCCGAAACAGAATAGAGCAAGTGTTAAGTGTGCTTGGCTCCCATGTCATTCCAACAGCATTCTCTGAATTTCTCTCTCACTAATAAACTAAGTAACACAGATAACACTATGCTCAAGTAGACAGGCAGATCACGTGTTAGAAGCTACCAAAGAAATTACGGGACCCCAGTGGGACTGCAGAGAACTTGCATTAGGTTTAAGGCTAGTTAAGGGATCAGAATCTTACATTGTATAACTGCTTATCACTCTGGAGAGAATAAAACTGCAGGTGACCAGGCTTTCCATTTAAAACTAAAGCTTTAGTTCTTGGATCAATCATCAAACCAGTCAAGATACTTCTATCTGTAAAAGAAGTGACAAACAATAGCTGAAGTCAGAGAAACACTTTGATAGTGTAATTCCAATAATGAATTCCAAACCTACTAGATTGTGTAATACCTTTTACTAGGCCTTGAATTACTGCTGATGTATCAAGGTTTCGGTGAATTACCATTATTTCTGTGGGTTAAAAAAAAGTATTTAAACATTAGCAAGTCAAAACTTCAAGGTGAATTCATTTCCAGGTGAATTTATTTCATCCTGAAATATGCCAAAATAAGAAAGAACTTGACAGTGTCACTGGAAAATCAGGACCTACGTTTTGTGATTTAGTTGAGAAATTAGGTGTAGAGATGGGAGCTTTCCTGTTAAAATCTTTAAATTCTACAAATTGTTGACTATGGATATGATTCATACATTAGTGCTGAGAAATTAGCTATCGGTAGTATTTATAAAAGATAGTTTAACTTTGAAGTTGTCATACCACAATGGCTGCTCACAGCAGCGTTCTGTTCTGAAGGGAAAGGAAGCAGTGAGCTACTGGGTTTCCAGAGGCCTGGCTTGGGGCAGCATGAGCAGGATGAGCAAAGTCCTGGGGGACCTGAGACAGGCTCTATTTCTATCAAAGCCACAAGACTCCCACAGGGAGCAGAATAGCTCTATCCAGAGAATCTCACAGTACCCTTCTGTGAACGCTTCTGTTCATGTCTACAGCAATGCCCACTTCAAAGCCCCGCTGTACTTCCCCACCATCCCACTTCCAACCATTCTGCAAATATAAATGGCACAGCAATGGCCAAACACAGGAGCCCTTCATTTTCATAAAAGCCATTCTGAAAATGTTGGCTTCAGCTGATATCTTGGGGTAGAGAGGTGTGGAGAAAAGAGGTGAAATAGAAGGAAAAAGTGCTCATAAATCTCACACTACTTTTAATTAGCTCTAGGTCTTTACTTTCCATTCCTACAGAAGCAAGCTGATTCATGGCATCCTACAAATTCTACTTCCTCACGACGAGTAATTCAGACTTACTGTTATCAGAGTGAGAAGTACAGAGCAAGTCTCCAGCCGGGGAGACCGAGATGTGCTCGATAGTGGCTCCTAATCGTGGCAGGAACTCCTTGTTCTTCTCCACTGAGTCGCGCCACTCCACGAGCACACACTCCCTCCCGCCGCTCAGCAGGCTGGCGCCTTCACCCGTCCAAACAGAAACCAGAGAAAAATCACAATTCACAGGTTTTTTTTGGTACCGGGGATCGAACTTGGGTCCTTGCACTTGCACAGCAGGCAGTGAAACCACTGAGCTAAACCCCCAGCCCTACAATTCACAGTTTTATTCTGCCTAGCACTGTAGAGAAATACACTCTTTAGAAATACACCGTATCTTTATATTTTTGTAACTGAAGTCTTATTCATTATTGTTATTTCTAGTCATTTTTCTTTTATTTTTTGGCCATTCTGAGACAGGTTTTCATGCAGTAGTCCAGGCTGGCCTTGAATTCCTGTCTCAGCCTCCTGAGTGCTGGGATTGCATGTGTGTGCTACCATACCTGGCTTAATTTATTTTAAATTGACACAGTAACTGTACAAATTTATAGGGTACAGTGTGGAATTTCCATACATGCATACACTGTGTAATGATCAAATTAAAGTAATTAGCATAGCTATCATCTCAAGTGCTTTTCTTTGTGGTGAAATATTCAAAATCTTCTAGCTCTTTTGAAATATGCAGTCCATCATTACTAGCCACAGTCACACTACTGTGTGATAGAGGAAATGGTCCACAGAACTAAACAACCTATAGAGAAAAATATTTGCAAACTATGAAGCATGATCACAAAGTACAGTGAATATTTAAATAAAAACAATTTATTACAGTAAAAGATACATTGCCATTAATCCCTGTCAAAATCCTCTCCTCACTGTGAACACACATCCATCCCATCATGTACCTTTCATGGCCATTTTGACTCTGGGGAAAAGCTGGAAGTCACACCATGCCAGATGCAGTAATAAGGTGGATGAGGATTCATTTTAATGTTATTATTTGACAGAAACTGCTGTAAAAGTTTTTAATCAATTGAGGACAGCAAGGCAGCTATGACAGTGCAACTAAGCACTCATGAAGTAGGACTTCCAGAGGTTATACAGAAAGTGGCAAGAACAATGGCATCAACATGTTCAACATGAGGGGGAGTATTTGAAGGGGATTAATGGGAATGTGTTTCTTACTGTAAATAAATTTAAAAAACAAAACTTAAACATTCACCATATTTTTTTTATCATAATTCATAAACACCTGGTAAAGAGTCAGGTAGAATATGTAAGGAACAACTCAATAACAAAACCACAAGATTGAAAAATGGGCAAAAGAACTGACCTGAATAGCTATTCCTCAGAAGAATGGTCAACAGATATATGAAAAAATGTTCAGTATCATTAATGATCAGGGAAATGTAAATCTGAAGTACCTTACTTCAGTGAGAATTACGATTATCAAAGACAAAAGAAAAGAAACGCTGTTGAGGTTGAGGAGAAAAGGAAATTAATACACCCTGCTGGCTGATAGGAAGCTTTTAATGTAGCCAGTGTGGAGTTTCATCAGAAAGTTAAAAACAGAACTGCTGTGTGACTTGGTAGTCCCCCTACTGAGTATAAACCCAATGGAAGGAAATAAGTTTATCAAAGAAGATATCACTGATTAGGTTTGTCCATACCTAATCCTTAGGTTCAATGAAAAATTTGAACAAGCTGTTACCTGGCCAAAAAATAAGCCACCAAAAGGACTGGCTTTCATTACTTAAATGTCAGTGGCTTTCACAGACAAGCTGTCACAACAGCATCCAGTCACCAGAAGCTCATATTGTACATTACTAAGTTTACAACTGGTCCTTGCCCTGATTTGGGCAGAAGCCACAGCAGAGAAAGGAACTGAAGAAGAAACGAGCAAGGGTTAGAAGGGAAGAGACACTGTCCGGAGCATGTGGACACATACGCATGTGCACACCAGCGCACACCAACACTCCTTGGCGTTTGGGGACATGGGTGACAGGAGGATGGAGAAGATAAACGAGAAGACTGGTTTTCGTCTGCAGGGTTAACTCCTCTCTATTCTCTTTCTAGTCTCAGTCCCCACAGGTCACAACAGCATTCCTGTTTCACTACTCGGTGTGAGGCTGGGTTTGTCCTGCACTCACAGACTGCTCCACAGACCCCAAGCTGAAGTAGGTGGAAGTCACCTTCTGTTTCCTGGGGCTCCAGTGAGTTGAACCCAAGTAAACCTAAGGATCCAGTCAGAGCACCTGGTACAGGTGTCAAACTCCAGGAAGACCTGGAAAGGAAGTCACTTTTGTGTCTTCTCAGTTTTCAGGTGCAACATATGGACATAATTTCCACCACATGCATGGGTGGGTGTGAGGGTGCTAAAGGAAGTCAAAGATAAAATGAACTTTTCCACATTTCTGTTGCAGGCAGAATTTCAAGGAGGCATTTTTACTCACTACAGCCACACTCTTACGCAACTTGAATGGAACACAGATCTGAATTAATTTAAAATAGTGACTACTAAATGAGGTATCTGTCAGTTAAAACCACAAACTTTTAATCCAGACCCAAATCCCACTTATTAGCCATGTGAACTTAGGCCAGTCAGTTGTCAACTCCAAGCCTCATTTCCTTCATCTGTAGGAAGAAGATCAATGATACCTATTTTACAGGGTCCGAGATTAAGCCTGATAGTAGTTATGTATGTGCACCTGATAAAGTTTAGCTACAGTGATGGGCCACTATGCAGACATACATTTAGACAAATGGAGTGTAGCTTAAATAAGCTCATTATGTTAAAAGACTTTATCATAAATGTCTACTTTGGAACTCTAAAGGGCTTTGAAAAACATGACGTATACAGTATTGTGCTAAGCAAAGTCCAAAACACTGGGGTCACAAACAAGTGGCTGCGATTCATTTGGCCATGCAATTTTAAATCTCTCAAACTAGAAATGCAGTAAATTAAAACATGTGACCCACATACTTTAAAATTTAATTTTAATTATTAAACCTGCACTTACCTGTCACTGAAAAAGCCAAATCCATAACCATATCATGGTGCCAATGTAAACATGTGTAAGTGTATTTTCTGTCATCATCAAAATTTCTCCTATTGGAGAAAACCAAAGTCTTAATATAAGTAAAGGCATGTCAAATATAATAAGTCATAATATCAAGTTTTCTGGTCATGTGCAAAAAAGTACACTTTAATTTCTAATCCCAGTCACTTCTACAAACAGCTTGTCACCTATGGCACCCTACTAGATACTCAGTGTCATCACCGTCCATTTTTGGGTAAAGGCTGACAGAAAAGTTCTCTTTAGTGAAATGGTTACAGGCAGCATGGACTTTCTCATCCTCCCTAAAAGCCTAAGGCTGGGAACCCTAAAATAGTACGAAACGAAGAGTGAAAGAAATGAAGGTGTCAGCAAAGCCCACTCCCTATTTCCAGCACTGGGTTTCTATCCCTAGTATGGACCTTCTTCCGCCCAGAGCCAGCGTGTTCCGCAGCACTAATATAAAACAGCATCAAGGGGCCTCTGTGCTTTGTGTGTCACTGACCAGAGACGGATTTTGCCATCCATGTGACCGGATGCGATGCAGTCTTCCTTTGGGTGGCATGCTACACATGTAAAATTGTTCTTGGCATGTTTCTTATTTTTTGATGATGATAAAGAATACCTAGGATGAAAAATAAAATTCCCTAGATTATTAAAGTCTCTTGGGAAGTATGGATATAGTTAAGTAAAAGGGAATCCCAAGCCTTATCAATCAAGATTGGAGAGTTCTCAGAAATCAATAAATACAAATGTAGTTTTTAATAATTTTTGATGAAGAATCAAGCAATCTGTTTTGCAAACATATATTAGCACACAATATAAACTTGATGTGACTGATATTCCACCATGCCAACTTGCTATGGAAGCCAATCCATTTAAGTAACAAAGACAGTTCTTGTAGTGATTTTTTTTGGCCTGGGTACAGCTTGTTAACATTTCTCACTGAACCTAAGTTTCTATATGAGGTATGGCTAAGTCTCACAAACCATATCTGAGACAACTACCTAATTACCTCTACAGGAATCAATTCAAAGGGATAAATCTACTTGATATAATATCTAGACTATTTCCTATTCTTAGGCTGAGTATTTGTTAATCTTTGGGCTAGAAGTCAGGCTCCCTATTATACTGCACATAAAACAAATGGTTTTTTTTCTTAAATTCTTTTATTGGTACATTTGAGGAATACAACACAATTACATTCTCATTGGGAATTGTACCTTTACATAATGCATCTTGGTTCTTATTTTTTCCCCATTCCTAGCCCTCCCTTCACCCCC